TAATATATATATATATATATATATATATTACACACTGCCCTTTACCCACTGTTCGTCTATAGTGTAAATTTTTTAAACACTTAAAATATTTTAAAGCCTATATTATTTTTTAACTCTACAGTTGTGCAGTAAAATTCATTTTAAAGATTCTCGAAAATGAAAAAATTGCCAAAAATGTGTCTCCTTGTGAAAAACAAAGACTTTTAAGATGAAAATGACATGAAATTACCAATATAACCAGTAGATGGCAGCAGAGGATCATTCATCAGCTCAGTTGCCATTTCCACTCCCTAGTATTTGTCACATCCTGCTTTTGGATTTATAAAAAAATCATTAATGCACAGGGCTATTTTGACATCGGCTTTTCAGATAGTTCATTCCGTCCATTGCTACAATATTTATCACTGTCAATCATAGCAATGACTAACAATTTAGCTGATTCACTCGCGTCATTTTTTTCCGCTCGCGTTTGTCATTCCTGAAACAGTATGCGTGAACAAACAAAACTTTTCTTCAAATTTTAAATGGATTATGTGAGAAACCTTTTTTTCTTGTTATAATGGGAAGATCTGCGAGCGCGTATAACTCCGTAAACTTGTGAAAACAATAAGTTCAGAGCAGATTCTGACTAACCTACAGTAAACACCTCAAATCTGATTCTGATCTGACTTGGGCATGACGCGTCACTATGGAAATAATAAGATGATATGTATTGACACAATATATCACCCCCCCAAAAATTTTTTTTTAATCAAGCTGTCATTTCATGTACTCTCAGGGGCCCCCTGGTGGCCACGGGGGCCCTAAGCAGCCGCTTAGTTCGCTTATGCCTTGCCTCTGCATGAAACTTAAAGAATACAAAAACACATCATATCCCTGCTAAGTATGTTTGTCATCTGCCGCTAGGGGGTGAAGTTATAAAAAAGAATATATGCATGCAGTTTGAACTGAGTGAATGACCATTTACTTTTATGCTACATATATATATATATATACTACACACAAAATATAGAAGGTCAAATAGTCAAAGATATCTTTGACACAAAGAGACAATAACTCGGAGCTACATGTAATACATCAAGTACAACAGATCAAGAGGAAATCCTGTTACTGACAGTTATCTCTCAGGTTTAATGTGGAAAGACAGAAGGTGGTCTAAATATCAGAAACCACACCCACATTTACAGACATTATAGCTGCATAAATGACTTTCCATTACATACATTTACCTATCAACTTAAAATCATTAAGCATATATTTATTGGCTTATTTTATTAGCAAATTTCTCACCATGGAAAGATGTATTCTACTTCTTATTCTTATAACAATTCCAGGTAAAGTGCAGTTCAAATATCAGCACTGAACTAAAATATATTGTTTATTACGTGCATATTTAATTTATAGATGTTAAATTAGAATTCTGACATCAAATATTGTTATTTTTTATGTTGGTCATTCATAGCACTGTATATGTAACAACAGAAAGGGCAGGGGTTTAATTCAGCTTTTATTAAACATAATTAATTCTCTTGCAGGTATATTTGCTGATAGCATTGAACCAAAAGACAGAGATAATATAATCAAGAAAGAAGGAGAGTCTGTGACACTGAGCTGCACTTATGATACAAGCAGCACTTATGCTATGCTTTACTGGTACAGACAGTATCCAAACAGAGAACTCCAGTATTTACTGCGTAAAGGTGCTCGATCATGGAGCTACAGTGAGGATATACCAGATCGTCGCTTTCAGTCGATTACATCACAAACATCCACTGAACTCACTATTACTGGTGTAACTCTGTCAGATTCAGCTCTCTATTATTGTGCTCTAAGAGTAGCAGCCCAGTGATACAAAATGCCTGAGACTCTTTACAAAAACTCACACAATAATTGCTTTGAACAGTATTTAATCAATTAAACATCAAACCACAGTTGTTCTTTATGTGAGCCACGAAGTCTCTGTGAATAACAGGATACGGTAACACCTGCGAAAACTTATCTGAAAGGAATACAATAAAGTATAATGGCTTCATTTGGTAAGTATACTGCTATGAAAAAGTGACTGATGGTCTTTCATAAATGATAAATTGCCCATTCATTTGACTGACATTTTCTGTTAAACTGAGTAAGACGTAGTAGCATTTTATATCAGACACATTTAGCACTTTTTCAAACATTACTTCATTATCCCAAACTAGGTGTTGTTTAAAGAAGGAGATAGCTTAAACTTATAAATAAAATAAAAAAAACATATCACACACTAAACAACATCCTGAAAATGATGCTTTTTGTTTTGGTTTTACTTTGTTCTCTAATATATAAGTATATTCTGTCCCAAAGTGTCAGGATTTTATCATTTTTGTTTGCTGTCCTGTTATTTCATATGAATATTTATTTATTTAAATATTAATTTCAACTAGAATAATATTCCTATCTGCAGGTGTCAGTTTTGGGAATGTCATCACACCAGTCCAAACTGACGTGTTTGGGACAGAGGGGGACAATATGACTCAGGAAACAGGAATCATACTGTGCAAAAACACATCCTATCCCTGCATGTTCATCAGTACAATGAACATTTGAGAAATTACATTACTTTGAAAAATAACAAATGCAAGCAGATTTAGGTATCGATCCTGTGCTTTATAAGATGGTTATTTCAAAAGGCGGAGCTTAACACAGGCCTGTGAAGCAGATTAGTTCAGTGATAATCAGCATCACAGATCACGTAGGCAAGCAGCAACTACCATCATGTTCACTTGTGTGCTCATACTGCTGACTTTAACTCAAGGTAAATTCTTACATGTATCATTATCATTGCATAACAATATCTCATTTTAAACATGCTTAAATAAGCTTTTGTTGCAGGTAACAGAGCTAAAGATGTCATCACCCCATACAGTGATGCAGCATTTGCCACCGAGACTGAGCCAGTGATACAAAATGCCTGAGACTCTTTACAAAAACTCACACAATAATTGCTTTGAACAGTATTTAATCAATTAAACATCAAACCACAGTTGTTCTTTATGTGAGCCACGAAGTCTCTGTGAATAACAGGATACGGTAACACCTGCGAAAACTTATCTGAAAGGAATACAATAAAGTATAATGGCTTCATTTGGTAAGTATACTGCTATGAAAAAGTGACTGATGGTCTTTCATAAATGATAAATTGCCCATTCATTTGACTGACATTTTCTGTTAAACTGAGTAAGACGTAGTAGCATTTTATATCAGACACATTTAGCACTTTTTCAAACATTACTTCATTATCCCAAACTAGGTGTTGTTTAAAGAAGGAGATAGCTTAAACTTATAAATAAAATAAAAAAAACATATCACACACTAAACAACATCCTGAAAATGATGCTTTTTGTTTTGGTTTTACTTTGTTCTCTAATATATAAGTATATTCTGTCCCAAAGTGTCAGGATTTTATCATTTTTGTTTGCTGTCCTGTTATTTCATATGAATATTTATTTATTTAAATATTAATTTCAACTAGAATAATATTCCTATCTGCAGGTGTCAGTTTTGGGAATGTCATCACACCAGTCCAAACTGACGTGTTTGGGACAGAGGGGGACAATATGACTCAGGAAACAGGAATCATACTGTGCAAAAACACATCCTATCCCTGCATGTTCATCAGTACAATGAACATTTGAGAAATTACATTACTTTGAAAAATAACAAATGCAAGCAGATTTAGGTATCGATCCTGTGCTTTATAAGATGGTTATTTCAAAAGGCGGAGCTTAACACAGGCCTGTGAAGCAGATTAGTTCAGTGATAATCAGCATCACAGATCACGTAGGCAAGCAGCAACTACCATCATGTTCACTTGTGTGCTCATACTGCTGACTTTAACTCAAGGTAAATTCTTACATGTATCATTATCATTGCATAACAATATCTCATTTTAAACATGCTTAAATAAGCTTTTGTTGCAGGTAACAGAGCTAAAGATGTCATCACCACATACAGTGATGCAGTATTTGCCACCGAGACTGAGACTGTGAAACTCTCTTGTAACTACACTGGTTCTGTTGAGAGTCTTCACTGGTATCGGCAATATGCAGGTTTAACACCACAGTTCCTCATCCTGGATCATTCAGGATACGTTATTCAAGCTAATCCTCCAGTTTCTGGAATATCCATCAGTCACAGAAAAGAAGATAACAGTGTGGATCTGATCATCTCCTCTGCTGCTGTATCAGACTCTGCTCTGTATTACTGTGCTTTGAAGCCCACAGTGACAGGAAACACTCAACACACCGTACAAGAACCTGACTGACTCTATAGTCATAAAATGAGACGTTAGAACAACAAATAGTATCCACATGCTACATTCAAATTCATATTTAACTATACATTTTCAAACTGGTTAGTATTTCTTACGTACATATATTGATTTAGTAAATGCTCATTATTGAATGAGACCAATGATGGAATATCACTATATAACTATTATAGAACTATTTGAAAACATATTAATTAAATAAAATCAACATTTATAATCCTTTATATTTTTCAGATTCACTCATGTTTTATCTTTGTTAGACTCATGGATGTAGTCAATGGGAGAATAAAGGCTTGTCACAGCACCACTGGGGGGTGCTGTGTACATTAAAACATTTCAGAGAGGATGCCTGACTATATCAGAAATGAATTCACATGTGCAAGGAATAACAGAAGATGGTTCCTATTACCCTCTACATTTTGTGTAATTTGGTGAAACTGTGCTTAAATGTTGTGAAAATGAATAATGCCAAAAAGCAGGCTCAGACATGTTTCCCATAAGATTGTTAAATTTACTGAATCAATCATTTTGTAACAGATTTCAAAGGGCCTAAATGGTTTGTTTTTCCTCATAAAATGCACTTGATCAATAATGTAGATATCAATCAACACACCAAATATAATGCTACAAGCACAAACCTCAATATTAAAAAATGAATATTCTAACTCACAAATAGCTTCTATTCTGTTTAGCTTTGAATGATCCTTATAGTAACATAATGAACATAATCAAAGTTACACTTGCTGATAAAATTGAATTAGCATATAATAGACTTATTCAACAAGAAGTATAGTTAATTTTAAAATATTTATATACTGACTTAAGGCCCAATCTTAACATCTCAATGTTTAGGAAAGGAAAGACAGAGAAGGTGGTCTAAATAAACCACACCCACACTATGGCTTCATAATAGGCTAATCATACATTTACCTGAAACTTCAGTTCAGTAGCAAGCTAGTAAACCTTCCCAACATGGAGAGATGCTTTCTACTGATTCTCATTACAGCAACAGGTATAAAACATTTAATCTGAGCAGACTCAAACATAATTTATATTAAAATGTTTGTCCATGCTAACATTTTTTAATGGTACTCTACAATAATGACATCAAATTTGTTGAAGAAACTGTTTGCTAGTTTTTGGATACGTGGAGAATCCAGCTGACCTGTTCAATTTGTCCAAATGTCTTGCAGGTGTTTTATCTGACAGCATTCAACCAAAAGACAAAGAAACTACTATTTACAGAACAGAAGAAGAGCGTGTAACGCTGAGCTGTTCATATGATACCAGCAGCAATTATGTCTATCTCTACTGGTACAGACAGTATCCCAACAGAGAACCAGAATATTTACTGTATAAAGGTGCCCGATCACGTAGCAGCTATGAGGATATACCAGATCGGTTTCAGTCGACTACATCCCAAACATCCACTGAACTCACTATTAAGAGTGTAACTCTGTCAGATTCGGCTCTCTATTACTGTGCTCTAAGAGTAGAAGCCCAGTGATACAAAATGCCTGAGAAGCTTTACAAAAACTCACATGTATTTTTTTGCCTTTAAAAAAATAGATCAAATAAGAATTAAACCACAGTTATATATTCTGCAAACCACAACACTTCTTTCACAAACACAATATTGTAACACCTGCTGGAAGAAAAGAACTGTGGTTAGGAGGAAAGTATAAAAGATTACAATTGCAATACTTTTTTTGGCATGCCCTAATAAACCTTCCCACAAAAGATCCTCTGAAAATAAATTTTTCCATGCTAAAATCACTAATTGCCAGAGTGTAAATAAAGGTATCTTACAATTAAACTGCGTTTCATTTTTTTAAAGGAATAGTTTACCCAAAAATTAAAATTTGTTGAAAATGTACTCTCCCTCATGCTATCCATGATGAGTTTGGTTCTTCATCGGAACGGATTTGGAGAAATGCAGCATTACATCACTTGCTCACTAATGGATCTGCAGCGAATGGGTGCCATCAGAATGAGAGTCCAAACAGATGATAAAAAACATCACAATAATCCACAAATAATCCACACAACTCCAGTCCATCAATTAACATCACGTGAGGCCAAAAGCTGTGCATTTCTAATAGCCAGATTTATCATTAAGAGGTTTTAACTTCAAACCGTTGCTTCAATCTAAAATATGAGTCCTCTATGCATAATATTGCTTATTATGTAAATTATATAAACAATACTTCTGCTGTTTCAATGATAGTTTAAGGGGAGGAGTTTGCTTGACACATCATCTGTAACAAGGAAAGAACAGAAAGTTTAGTTGAAGATCATCTTGTGCTGAACTAGAACTTCATCCTGATTATGATCAACATGTTGCTCTGCTTAACTGGTTTGATTTGTTCTCTTATATGTAAGTATTCAATTTATTTGGCGTTTTTTTTATAATTTTGTCTAGTTGAGATTAGTAAGTGTGGTGTTTGTGTTAGTTCATTTTTATGTACATTGCATTTCTATAAATTGACTCTTTGACTCTTGATTTTGAAGGTGTCAGTTTTGCGAATGTCATCACACCAGTC